TCTCTTAATTGATATCTATATAAAAAACATGTGACGACAGCATAACAATACCCATCCCAATGAACAAACAGCCAATCACATGTCTCGATAAATAACCAAAACCTTTCAAAAGATTTCCAGGAAGTGGCTATATTACTGGTTTTGATTAGTAGCATGATCTGTAGTCGACAAATCATAATCTGCATATTAATGAACCCATGTCCCATGCATTACACATTTGTCCAATCTGATTAAAATACAGTTCTATATAACGTTTCGTTTTTTTTTCATACTTTGGATGGCCTACACTACACGAAGATCTGACAAGTTAGAGTGGGAGTTCCCGTCATGGGTCAAACGAGTGGCTTTTGACCCTATGACGTCAGGCATTGATTAATCAATCGGCGTTGACGTTTCTAGTGGTTTACCCACAGCTCCGTGCATTAAAAGGCCAAGAACTCGCCGTAACAGACCGTTTCATTGGCTAATCCCTCACATTATTCAGAACACGTCAATGATAACAACTCTTCGAGATCCTAGTGTAGTAAAGACAAGTAAAACGAGATTTTGAACTATGATAAACAAAATGAAATAGGATCTGTGTTTTAATCAGCTTGATATTTGTCTCCAGAATACAAACTTAACCAAGTGGACTAATTAACCGAGAAATAAAATGAAATGAATCGCTATTATATTGGGATATTCAAATCGATTTTATCCTAAAAATTTAATATGATTTTTCTGATGCATCCCGGTTAAGGGTAGACTTCACGGACGTGTGAGAAGTTGACAGAGGGTTTGTGAACGCTATCAACAAGTGGTAGTGTCTGGTGCCTGCTAGTGATCATCATGGAGCAAACCATATTTCCAAGTCAGTCGAAAGAAAGACAGACCATATGGTCTAATGCATGTAAGCCTACCATGTCACGACACCTACTACAGAATAACAGTTATGTTGAGGTTACTCACCACACAGATCTTTAAAGAAAGTGTACCCATCATCGCAAGCAAAGTGTAGTGAGTGTAGAGCCAGGTTTCCCGATGATGTAAACTGTACACTCTCAATCTGTACATCCTGGCCTTTACTGGTATTAAACATACTAGATAAACCATCAATAATAATATGAAGAGACGCGTTTAACGTCGATACACTCTCATTGGATCTGTAAAAAAAAAAAACATTATAAATTAAATATCACTCAAATGGTGGAAACAGTAGGTGATATCCCTCCGCCGGATTAACAATTAACAAGATTAAAGATGGAGTAAACAGTAGGTGATATCCCTCCGGCGGGTAACAATTTACAAGATTAAAGATGGAGTAAACAGTTAGTGATATTCTTCCGATGGATTAACAATTAACTAGATTAAAGATTGAGTAAACAGTTGGTGATATTCCTCCGACGGATTAACAATTAACTAGATTAAAGATGGAGTAAACATTTGGTGATATTCCTCCGCCGGATTAACAATTAACAAGATTGGAGATTAAGAATTTGCTGTTAACCTGGTTAGAGATATACAGACACAGGGGACACATTTCTACGGAATACAATCACTTTAGTCGAAACGTGACTCAGTAATATACAGTACTTGAATTCCACATAATTGGGCTGTGTGTATTTTCAGTTGAACGATAAAATGGACAATCGAGGCTAAGTCTTGGTTGTAAAGTATTGTTGCTGCGATAATGTAAAATCTACGCTGTATCACAAACTGTCATTACTTAGCTCAGAATAATGTGATTTGACAGAAATTTTCAATATATTCATTTTTCATTATCTATTTTTGAACTAGTATAGCAAGAACGATGAGCTCTTGATATAAATCTTACATAATGCATCTTTAAATTAAAATTGAATATACACGTAGTTCATATACCTTCTAGGTATAGATATACCAAATAAAATAGTAAAACCGCCAGCAGTATCACGTTCATGGCGTTTAGTTGGCACTGACGGTGGACAGTTAATAACAATATCCATCCCGGAACATAGCTGATTCTCTGGTGCCGGTAGACCACTACATAACTCTCTTCTAATAACTACTGTTAATTCCTGTACAAAATCCCATTTAAATTTTTCTACTGGTTGTAAACATGGCTGAGTAAATGTTGTTTGTAAAACAGACTCCACACTTCTTACTTCTCTCTTATCTAAATATACAATACACAAATATACAATGCACACAAATATACAATGCACACAAATATACAATGCACACAAATATACAATACAAAGATATAATGTAATACCATTTATAGCCTCTAGTACCCATTGACATTTTTTGGACGATATCTATTTTTCAACGGCTTAAAGATGCATGCAGATCCTTCGTTTGGCCTCAAATGTAAAGACAACTTGCTATTGTTCATTTATACTCTAATTTCGATTCTAACTGCCAGGGAATCATTAATATGATGCCAATAGTATAGACTAGCTAGACCTAGGTATTTCGTCCCCTCCGAATGACTAAAAGACTTTCCTTGCCAGACCCCTCCGTACGACACCACTGATAAGGTTATACAAATCTAGAAAATCCAATGGAACCTTTCTCAGCTAACACCGGGGTCGAACCCAAGAACTACTGTTTAGTGAACCAGTGCCTTACACGCTGACACCCCTCCCCCCGGTCGCTCAAAGTGAATCAGTGCCTTACACACTGCCCCCTCCACCACCCCCGTGGCTCAAAGTGAATCAGTGCCTTACACACTGACCCCACGTGGCTCAAAGTGAATCAGTGCACGTGGCTCAAAGTGCCTTACGTACTGACCCCCCGTGGCTCTCAGTGAACAAGTGCGCCTTACACACGGAGCCTCCGTGGCTCCAATTGGAAACGTAATCATTACCTGGTGGACACATCCATGCCATACAACAATGGTTGACAATCTGTTGTTTTTTACAGCCATTACGTGGTGGTACTGTAGACACGGTACATACTGGACGACATTTTATTTTACCTGATTTACACGTACATATTTTATCACAACCTTCTTTATATTGTTCGCCATCTTTTAATATCATATTATCATATTTACAACCATTCTCTATAATATAAATAAAAATCATAAGCCGTTATCATATTGTCTCTGGCATCATTTCATCGATGTTTGCGCACGTTGTCTTCATTTGCCTCTGCGGAGGAATTCGGCACAAAAGAGTAACAGCAAGTAGGTTCATCACATCCGAAATAGTTCCGATAGATGAACTGGAATGAAATGGGGTATAATGTCTTGTCAACGCAATACTTCGGTCATTTTAATTTCCATGTTTACGTATGAAATGTCCACTATTCTTGGAGTTACATGAATACCAACAGAAAACGAACGGAGCACGGTTTTTCGTCCTTTTCGAAAGTTAAATACAAAGTTCAAAGGGTGAATCCGATAAAATAGATCAACAACAAATGAGAAAATGTCCAGGAAGTCAGATTTGATTCCCATGGTAGCTTCAAACTTGTAATATAATGTTTTTCCAAAGAGGAACTAACCAACAGTCTCAGATAACGCAAGAAATGTCGTGATTCACTAAAGAGGGTGGTTTAGTATCCATAAAAGTTACAAATTATTTAATAAGAAAATAATATGGTCAGAGATATGTGCACTAGCTAATTGGAGCGACAGTTCAGTCTTGGATTTCAGTACCCGGTGGTAGAGGGCAAGCACTACCAAGTGTCCAATCACTATGTCAACTGAATTAGCTTCCCTGTATACAAGGGGGTCGGAAGTAGCAATGGTAGGGAGTGTGTGTGGGGGGGGGGCATCAAAACAATGTCAAAAGTTTAGTTGTTTAGATTATAAGAATGAAACAGTAATATTCTTACCAGCGGGAGAACATGTCCAGGTAGGACAGCAGGAACCATTCAGTATTTCTAGCTTAGGAAATGGACAAGACGCAGACGGTAATAAGACGCCATTTAATTGTGGACAGTTGTTGATACAATCTACTTCTCCCATACGACATTTACAATGTCTGTTACAATCATCGTGATACGATTCATCATGTTGTAACGTTCTATCTTTTATACTACATGTTAAATCTGAAACGGATAAATAAAATAAATAATAGCGGATATCATTGTGTTTAATAATGAAGCAGTCAGCAAAACAAACATTTTTTATATTGATGTAAACACTTTTGACTTCCAAAATCAATGATTCGGTATTGGTGGAATATAAGCTATCTATATGGAATTAAAATATATCTCTATGACCCTATATTGATAATAATATATGACCCTACTTTGGCGGGATTCAATTGGTAGAAATGGGATTGCATCGGTAGAAATACTACCCGTGCGGATGATTCGATTCGACAAGAACAAAACGATGCAGAGAAATGGGATTTAACGTCCACTCGACACAAACTAGGTCATTTCGGAACTATCATATGGTTCACTTTAATTTCAATAATTTTCTTGTGCGTAGGGGTCGTTAGCAGTGGAAGGAAACCGGAGGACCCGGAGAAAACCCACAAGCGACCCTACTCCTTGTCACGTACAACCTTGGAATCGAACCCACACCAGTTGACTCAGTGACAGACCTTATGACACAGAGCGCACGTGCTAACCATTTGGCCATCCAACCCCACCGACAAGAACAAATGTAGTTAGTTCGAGGTGACAATAGTACGACTTACTTGTAGCGAGTGTTTTAACAGCTAAAAGACCAATGATAGTAGTAGGTAAGGTTGTATGTTGAGTTACTTCAGCATCATGTGGTTTACTGGGTTGACGTATATATGGTAGTATAGTAAAATAATAGGTTGTATTAGCACGGAGGTTGGATATAGTTATATAGGCTCGATCTCCTACCAGGAAAGACCCAGTTGTCTGTAGCAACCGCGATGGTCTAATGGGCTCTTCTGCTTGACCTATCGCAGGCGTTAAACGAACGTTTATCGTCTTCCAGTTGCTAGGTACGCTGGCTTCCTCGGCATCGGCATAATGAATCTGATAATCAGTCAAGTGTCCTTCCTTCTCTTCCTGGGTTTCTTCGATTTTTTTGGCTTTAAAGCTCATGGTTACGGAATTAGGTCCATATGAAGAAGCGTAGATGTTCTTAATGGCGGTGATGATATCTGGAAAATAATTTGTTTAATGGCGGTGATGATATCTAGAAAATATTTTTTTTTAATGGCAGTGATGATATCTAGAAAATAATGTGTGAATCTACAGAAGTCTACAGAAGTTTTCTACGACCCAGACTACAGTAATAATATAAAGAACTTATTTCCTAAGACTCAGAGAGTATGGTGATGCCTCACTAACCAGGAGGTCCCGGGAGTAGTCTTCCCCTTGTCAGTTAGGAGGATGGGGGCCTTGTAAGACAAACAGCTCAGACGTTCGGATGGTATGAAAAAGTGGCGTGCACGTAAAACAAACAATGACAGTTGGATGAAAGAGCAGACAGAAACGCCGCCTGAAATTACACTGCATGCTGTTCCGATCTCATTTACCAGGTTGGAGCGGAAAAGTCAGATGCTAAACCCCTTATAACTTCTCCTGTGATAAGTTCATGTAAATTTCAACACTGTTATCTCTGGACTAAATAACCATATCAGTTAATATCGTATGACCAAAACGTGCAGGGCTAGCCGCCATTATATTTTCCGTTAAACTTCTAACAATATCTGATTTTTTACAACTATTAACAGCAGCACTAACATTTAACCACATCCGCCATTCTACCACCCCTCCTTGTAAATATCTAGAGCTCATATGCTAGATAAACGAATTAAGAGTCTCGTATCGACATAATCGGGTCTCGCTATTACCGATTTCGAGATAATGAAGTTTAACTGTTATTACCTATCTCTGGTTCATAACAGAAGAGTGTATCACAGCAGTCATACCGTCTAATATGTGGTTTAGGACAGACAACGGTTGGTAATGGAAGGTGAACCTCTCTACATCTTGGTGAACATTCTACTGTGTTGTTGAGACTACATACACACAGTTCACATTGATTACCAGTTAAGAATTCACCTTGGTGAAATGTACCGTTAGCATATACACATATATCAACTGTAAATAAACATATACACATAGATCAAATCATATAAATCATCACCTTTATAATATAGCCACGGTGGCTAAGTGGGTAAGACGCTGGCTCGCTAGTCTGGAGGTCGCGTGTTCGATCCCTGCATTGGGCGAGAAAGTTCATCGGCAGTTGTGCAGGACCGAGGTCCCGTGTATCCATTGGCGTGCACGTTAAAGATCCCTTGGCAGTTGGAATTCGATATAAGAGTAGGACATAGTGCCGCTGTCCGGGGAAAGTTTCCCCCATAGCACACTGTATGGCATATGCCCGTTTTCATTAGCCCAGTCGGAGCAGAACAGTAGGACGTTAATTTAAATCACCCCCAAGCCCCACCCCAACTATAGTCCCAAAGCTTAATATAAATTTAAGTCATTTAAACATATCGCCCCCCTCCCCTCCATCATATATATTTACCCTACCTTGCGTAATAGGAGAACTAGTTTTGACTTGAGAATATAGTAGCCGAATCTCCCCTGTAAAATTAAGATTTGTACAAAATGTTTTCTTTGCGTACCCGGTTGTAGACATTCGTAAATTTCACAGCAGCCATTAGGGGCACGTCTACGATGTGGACGTGGACAATCTTCTGGTAACACGGGTTCTTCACAGAAATAATAACAGGCCACCTCCCCACTTTCACACTGACATTGTTCACATGTTTCTTCATCCAACCAATCATAACCCTGGCTGTACTCTTTACCCTTATATGTACATGATGTTGGTTGTGATGGACCTTTAATATATAAAAATCATTCAAAATCATTTTTGATGGCAATTTTTGAACCCACTTTGCTTAGAAACCTCAACATAAGCCTTGCTGACCTAAACATTTTCTGTGTCAAATTACTATTGGTTAAACATACATTATGCAAGAGCTAAATCTGCTTATTGCAGGTCTTTCTTTAGGCCTGAAATGTCATCTAAATTATTAATTAGACAGTAATTAACGTATCCAGACCACAATCAACTCTCGATGTCATCGCTAACCTGTGATATTTACTGGATTAGGATCCGATTTGCTGCTCAACTTCCATTTATAATTAAATCATGAAATTGATAATCGAGACTATGTTTGTTATCGTACCGACTTTAGTAATGATGATTGGAGCTAGGCCGAAAATTCAATCGCTAAATTCTCGGTTCAGAGTGGATCAATTTGACTGAAATCTTTAGCAAATACCCTTTACATTATCTAGTTTTTAACTATTATAGTGAGAACTGCCAGCTCTTTATCTAATCTCCCATAATGTATCTTTAACAAACGATTTAACAACCAATCAATTACCACATAACAATAGGCAATTTGAGGGATTTTAAATCTCCTGAAAGGTACAATACTATTAAAGTTGAATCGCCAAAAGAAATATCGACCCAGTGTGATACGAATCGTATAGTAGCACCTGAATCGCAATACGTATCGTGTCGTGACTGCAGTGGCAATACCTCGCACTAACTGGGATCGACGATTTTAAATCTAATACAGATGTACGTACCACAAGTCCAAGTGGGACAACAGTCGCCCTCTATTTTATGTGATTGAGGTCTTGGACAAGCTTCAGTTGGTTCCATAGCAACACAGTTAGATGGTACAATACACGTGGCATTACCATTATTACATTGACATTCTGTACAACCTTGTTCAAATACCTCACCGTGTATATATACACTACCATTTATAGAACAGTTAGCTGAAATAAATATAATGGTATCATGAAATTATAACAATAGAAAAAAGTGCCAAACACGCAACCGGGTCGTTCAAACAATCTTACAACTCATAAACATTTCAATAGTGTGCTTATCAAAATAAGTTCTTATCAAAACTCATTGAAATTCAATAAGATAGATAAGCAATTAAAATTTCAGAAAGATATGATCTCAGCTGAAGGAGCTAATTCGTAACAAAGGGGAATAACTCTGTGATTGATTACTGAAAGTCATTAAAAATAAAATTGATTTGAAAACCAATAAGGTGTTGAACGGTATGATCAGAATTGAAGTATTTAAGGTGCTAACAAGATTTCGCAATAAAGGGGAATAATCTGGATGTTTTCACCAAAAGTAGGATTTCTCCTTTCAATAGTATATAGAACTAATGTAAATTCAAAAAGATATACGGATTATTATGGCCGCTATTAAAAAGTGGACGTATAAAAAGTTAATCTATATTCCAATGATCATTTCGGTACCTTTCGATTTTGGTAGACTACATACTCTGGAAGCAAGTGTTATGAGGAATACTGAAAACCTCAACCCTCTACTGCGCTAAACGACCAATTATAGTGCACCATGGGTGGTTAAAGATGGTTAAAGAGGACTGCAATCAATATCGGTCACTTTGAGGTCAAAGTTCCTAAATTGACTAGTATCTTTAACATGGACTAGGTTTCGGAAAGAACAGATATAAGATATCTTAATTTGAAAAAAATATTAAAATAAAACCTTTCAGAAATGTTAATAGTAACGTTACCTTGGATTGTTTCACAATCCCCTTCAAGACAATCGAATCTACCTGGGAGTATTTCACATGCTTGATTAGAGATGTTGGGACATAGACTCGTACAGACCAGTTCTCCAGTATTCAAACACGTACATCGGTCTTCATTATTATGATTAAATACTTCACCAACTTCATACTTTTTACCCACATGTTCACAATATTCTACATCTAAAATATAAATACACAACAACATTATAAACAATATTCTACATCTAAAATATAAACACAACAACATTATAAACAATATTCTACATCTAAAATATAAACACGCGGCGACATTATAAACAATATTCTACATCTAAAATATAAACACAACAACATTATAAACAATATTCTACATGTAAAATATAAACACACAACAACATTATAAACAATATTCTACATCTACAACATTATCAGCCTGTTTACAATAAAATAAAACCAAATACGAACAATCCAAACCATAAGACAGAATTCGAAGTCCTAAAAAACGTTATTGGCAAAATAATGTATTCGAGCTAAATAGTGTAATCAGCAAATGAACTGCTCCTCGTGTACAAAATACACGACAAACAGTGGTAACAGGTGTCCGGAAGAGTAAGCTTACCCTGCCTTTTTACAGTCTGCACCAGCCCAGACAGACCCAATGTAATGCAGTGTGCTATGCTATGGGGGAATTTTGCCCGGACAGCGGCGTTTTTGTCCTACTCTTATTTCGAATTCCAACTGCCAAGGGTCGTTTCATGCGTAGGCCAATCATTCTGATAGACTTGGGGGAACCAGACTGGAAAATACCAGAGAACCTTCCCGGCCAACACTGGGATCGAACCCGGGAAATCCTAGTCAGTAACTCCCCGAGCCACATTTACATTAATTCGTTCGTTCGTGGGTGTTGCTTAACAGACAAGTGTTTACTACGATACTTGCAAGAATAGCCAGTCGTAAATTTATATTAGACCCACCTTTGGTTTTTATCATCAATGTTTCTGTGATGTTGCTATAAGTTCGATTGTCTGGGTGAAATGGTATACTCCAGATACCAATTCGTATAAAATACCATGTGGCTGGTTTTAAACTGGTTAGTGTATATTCAGGTTCATCACCACACTGTGATAGATTTCAAAATATTATTATTTAAAGTTACAATTTCATATTTTCTATGAAAATCAAAACATAATCATAATTCCAGAATTACTTTCATTTTAATAAACATACATGTATATTTTAGGGCTGTCAACAAATTCGACATATTGATCAATAATCCCAATACAAAATTGTGCGTACCCGTATCGATATTTTCACACTACTTTCATTTTGTTTGTTGGATTTAATTAGAAATGTATGAAAACACAATTTCAATCATCAAAATTCTTGCAAATAATAACACATCGGGGATTTAGAAATTTCAATGAATATATGCAAATTAGTCTCACTGAAAACATAGTCTAGTCTATTTCTTTTTGTTTTTCCCTGAAAACTGATATCTCAATATGGGATTTATTATATTACAGTAGTTCTTAACAATTCCGGTCTGGGGTTGATTTGGAATTTTACTTTAGTATATCTATTTGTGGAAAATGTAAACAATATAAAGACGAGTATTTTAGCTCAATGGTTAAATATAACACTTAATTTATGGATTTGTGTTCATAACCTTGATAACGAAATATCAAATTCTGTTGAAACGCCAGTGTGTTATGAGAGAATTTTTGCTCGGACAGCGACACTACGGCCTACTGTTATTTCGAATTCCAACTACCAAGGGTTCTTTTACGTGCACACCAACGTGTTCGCGGAACCTCGGGTTTTCGTCACATCCGTCCTGCACCACTGACAAGGGGGAACCACGCCGGAAAATCCCGATGACCTTTCTCGGCCAGGACCAGGATCGAACACGAGACCTCCAGGTTACCGAGCCAATGCCTTATTCGTTGTATGAAAAAAAGTCAACGCAGAGATCGAACACGGGACCTCTAGATTACCGAGCCAACGTCTGAGAGTAGATAGATTGGTACTATTATTTAAAGATATGTATTTTTTACCTCAATAACGTTCCACGTCGATAAATTGGTACTATAATTATCAGATCTATGTAATAAACTGTACTCCATGTTGTAGTTGGGTGGCGCAAATGCTCGCCATTTTATGGATAATCTTCTTTCTTCGTTGATAGTTCTGCGTAATTTGTATGGACCTGAAATATGAGAAACCAGAATGCAACTTTATATTTTGTCCAAAGATATTACGTGGATATTTCTCTTTTAATCTTGTTCGCTCAAAATCAGATTGTGTCATACTGGAGCTCCAGATTCGTGAGCCAATGCCATACTGGAGCTCCAGATTCGTGAGCCAGTGCCATACTGATACTGGAGCTCAAGATTCGTGAGCCAGTGCCATACTGGAGCTCCAGACTCGAGAGTCAATGCCATACCCCCCGAGCTACGGTGGCCTCTTTTGATTAAAGTGTTTTAATAATAACTTTTAATTGTTGATGTTCGATTTCTACGAATTCATCCCTTTAAATCAAAACCCGTGACGTCACACATGATGAAAGCTAGATTTTGGGCGGTTGATATGGGATAATCTTCTTGTATTTGAAGTGTATATCTTGCAAGAGCACACTTGTGTGTATATGATAATGATAAATGAAAATGATTTGATATTTAATACATCGCAAAAGGAGATGAATTCATGACGATCAAACCATTTCTATATAACATAAAGGATGATTTTTTCTGGGATTATATTAAGGAAATTCGGTGTAATACACTTGAAAATTTTAAAAAAAGAAATTGGTCGTTTTATGAAAGCTGTCATGTTAGACACCAATAATCACCAAAGCTCTTGTGTTATTTTTGATTAAGTTTTTTTTACATATAAAAAGAAGGAATTAGAGTTCTTCGTATGGAGTATTTCAAGTAGAACGTACAATATTATATTATTGTATAAGTCATTGTACTCAAGTGTCAATGGTTTTCTTATATGACAGATGTGAGAATGTTATTATCTTCGTCCCATGATTTTCTCGTAAAAATTATAACCTGTGGGATTTTATATCATAATGTAGGGGTCTGTTGTAAAGTTAGATATTCAGTACGGGTATTTTACATCATAATGGAGGGTTTGGTACAAAGTAAAGGAATTCGGTGCGGATCCGGGATATTGAGAACTTATTCTATAAGACGAGTTAAATGAAATGAAATGGGGTTTAACGTCCCACTGTTCCTGCTCCGAACTGGGTTAATGAAGACAGGTATACACCATACAGTGTGCTATGAGGGAAATTTTGCCCGAACAGCGGGACTTCGGCCTACTCTTATATCGAATTCCAACTGTCAAGAGATCTTTTACGTGCACTACACCCCAATATGTAAACGGGAACGACTAGACAGCTGTCCTTGTCAGGCCCTCCGTCCTGCATCACTGACAAGGGGGGACCACGCCGGAAAAAAGACGAGTTCAATGAGCATTATGTAAGAGCTAAATCTGCCTATCGTAGGCATTAAATGTTGTATAAATTAGACATTTATTAACATGACAAGACCATAATCAACTCTCGATGTCATTGGATGGCCTCGATTTTAAGTAGATTACAATGGTTCGGCCATTTAATGAATCAATTTTAAAATGGAGAAGCGAGGTTAAGACTTGAATGACCAGAACGGTGGTTACATCTTGGCCCTTATTCACGAAAACTTAAACTAAGATACAATCGAAATTTTAAGAAATACTGCAATTCGATTGACTGACCAATATGCAAATTGGATATATGCAAATTGATTTTACTGGTCAGCCCAGGTCAAAACTACAACCATTGATATCTTGGTTCACAATAAAGTAATTTGAATCAAATTTTCACTATATTCATTTAGCATTTTCTATTTTTGAAATATTATAGCAAGCACGGCGAGTTCTGTGTCTAACTCTTACAAAATGTCCCGTTAATGGGAACGGCGTACGTGGGAATCGTTTTACCTGGAGAAGTGTAGTGGCTCATTGGGTAATTGCGGAGGCTCGCTAACCTGGAGGTCCCTGGTGTTGGTCGAGAACGTTACTCTGGCTTTCCGGTGGGGTTTCCTCTTGCCAATAGTAGAGGGCGGAGGGCCTGGTCAGGGAAAACATAGTCGTTCGGATGGGACGATAAACCGAGGTCCCGTTTACAAATTTGCGTGCATGACGAGGGCCTGGCCAGGGAAACATAGTCGTTCGGATGGGACGATAAACCGAGGTCCCGTTTACACATAATTTACGTGCATGGCGAGAGCCCTGCAAGAAACAATTGTTCAGCTGGGACGAAAAATCCCCCATCCTGTGATCCGCCCATTTGAGTATACAAGAAGAGATACTAGTGTAGGTTGTTAGGTACGTTGTGTGAAATATAATATTATACGTTAAGGGTCACGGCCTTTAATAGAAATATGTTAATTTGTATGGTTGTACAAGGGTGCTCGCCGTGTGTACTTATATTTTGTCGGTTTTATTTGAACAGCGATTAGCTTTATATTGAAGTATAATACGAGATGGTCGACCATTTTACACCTGCCTATATGGTCAAATATCTTTACTTAATATAACAGGCCTACCTTCTGATATCAAATATTGACGTCATGGTTTATTGTGCACACGCCTTTTTTCTACCCCAAAACTTGTTTCAAACAAGGATCTTATTGATCACATTACCAAATTAACATACAGCCAATGAGGACATTGTGTAATACTCCGGGGGCCATGGTGGCTCTGTGAGAATGACGGTGGCTCACTAAACAGGAGGTACCGTGTTCGATCCCGCTATTGACTGAGAAAGTTCCTCGGGATTTTCGAGCTCGTTTTTTAAATGTCGTTAGTGCAAAGGCCTGGCGCTAAAGGGGCGTAAAACCGAGCTCCAGTCCTGTACTCGTTAATGTGTATGCGTAAATTTACACTTGACAATTTGGAATTCGACAAAGAGCAGACGGACATGAAATGAAGTGAAATGGGGTTTAACCATAGGCGTAGGAGCTCAAAGTAATTCAGGGGGGCATAAGAGAAAATTGCCCGAAATCAATACCGTTTTTTCGCGCATACATATCATAAGAGAGCTTCGGGTATATTTTCGGGCATGCAGTGGACAAGAAAAAGACGAGAAAATACTTTTCGGACAGTTTTGATCTCATAGAAATAAGTTAGTTATATTTTTTCTCTAAACGTTAATAGAAAAAAAAAGGTCGGCGAATTTTTCATTGCCCGAAAATAAATGCCCCCCCCCCCTGCCCCTACGCCATACAATGGGCTATGAGGGAAATTTTGCGAGGACAGCGGCGCTACGGTCTACTCTTATATCGAATTCCAACTGCCAACGGATCTTTTACGTGCACGTCAATGTGTACACGAGAACTCGGTTTTTCGTCCCATCCGAACGACTATAGGCAGCTGTCCTTGCCAGGCCCTTCGTCCTAAACCACTGACAATGGGAAACCACATCGGAAAATCACGTGCTCAGTAGGCCGTTTCATTTCAGAAATGTAAGATTCTTTCCATTATCTTTTCCGAGGGAACACATGCATTACAGACCAATGCTAATGTTTCCCCCACGTTTACGGACACCACCCCCACCCCCGCCATTAAACCACCTGCTATAATTGCGAAACGTAGTCCGCAATTGACCTATTGGGTGGACGTTAAACCCAAATTTCGTCATTTCTCTATCGTAATGAGTACAACGAAGCACGTGTTTTTATATATGGAAGAAATGTAAACATTTACTCCTTATATCGAATAACGGTGATCAAATTATATGTACTGGGCGTCACCCTCGAATCATCAGCTCTGTATTCAACACAACAGGTTTCCAAGGAATATAATATTGATATTTTTATAACAGAAACGTAATACCCGGCATAGTATCTGAACCGCGCTGTTCTATACTTCTTCAAAACGATATATCATTTTGCCTGTGCACTTGGGATACTGGCCTAATGTCATGTATTTCTGATTCAACAATTATAAAATTTGGGTGCATAGTCGTGCAGCTTAGCATGCTTTTGTAGACGTTCCGAACTAAACTGCAAATTGTCTCCAGATGCTACCAATTATATTTTATAAAATAGGTATCATATAAAAATCGGCGAACTAAATAGATACGTAACCAATGCTGTTTCGCCGGAGCCAAATAGAGTAGGCTAACGAGTCAAACGGCTTGTGTGTGCGTGTCCGAGAGAGAGAGAGAGAGAGAGAGAGGAGAGAGATAGAGCAATTGGGTTTAACGTCCACTCGACACAAACTAGGTCATTTCGGGACTAACATATGGTTCAATTTTATTTCCATAATTCGCTTGCGCGTAGGGGTCTTTAACAGTGGGAGGAAACCGGTGGACCCGGAGAAAACCCAGGAGGTTGGACAGGCGACCCTACTCCTTGTCACGTACAACCGGGGAATCGAAACCCCGCCAGTTGACTCAATGACAGACCTATGATACAGCGCGCGCGTGTCAACCATTCGACCATCCCCCCCCCCCCCTCAAACGGCTTGTAATTCAAGTGTAACGCCTGTGGGGGATATGGTCACTCGTCTCAGCACTTCGTTTTTCTTCAGGTCTTTCGGTCGTCTCCAACTACTAAAAACTCCTGGGCGCAAGGGAATCGTTGAAATAAAGATTAATCAAATATTAGTCAGGAAATGACATAGTTTGTGTTGAGTGGACGTTAAACCCATTTTCTCTCTCTCTCAACGAAAATAAATGTTGGCCTCAAAATGAGCGAACTAAATTTATAACTCCATTATAGTTCCCATCATTCCAGTCAAAATTGGTCACTGTTCGACTATAACAAATAATTTGAGCTTGGTTGATCGAGACTAACTCCCTAATTGTAAATTAATTGACGTGCACCTTATTTATGGATATTATTCTCTCAGAATTTACCGTTCATGTCACGTGATCTTTACTAAGCCCTCGTATTATGTATTAAAACACTTTATATTGTGTCACGCTAACTACTTAAAGAACACAGACGCCATCAATCTTGATGAGTTGGTGATAAGAAGCGTAGGGTGGATTATATTTCTTTGAAATTATATGTGTTATGTTCATGATTACCGGTTTATGAAGGCAACTCCTCTAAACCCTCCATCATACCATTTATTGACACGAAACTACAGCTAACAAAGAATTTAAAACTTCTAAAATGAGCGTTTTGAAGGACGTTCAAAATCTGGCAT